TCTAATTCTAGTTCTTTCATCCCGATAAGGATGTCTTTTTCGCCTTCCACATAGATTACGTTGGAAAGTCTCAAAGCTAATAATAGTTAAGCTTCATAAGATTTTTTCTTAAGATTTATGCTTGAATATAAATAACTCAAGAATCTTATAATTAATTTCACATAATATAAAATTTAATTTCTTTAAGGATGCAGATAGGGAGTTACTAGGCCATGTTAAATTTATTTTCACTTTTTAATAGTCTTTTCTCCCTTCCAATAATTGGAATTAGAGTTTAAAAAAAATCGATTATCGAGATTCAATAAGAATGAGTGATAAATATTAAAAAGAAAATGAAGTAAAGGTATTTTCTCTTTGTAATAGTACACAAAATATTACTAAAAGAGATTATTGCGATTAGTATATATTTTAGAATTTATATCTCATGAGGATCACATATTTCTAGTACGAGAATGAGTCGTTGTGAAAAAAAAAATCATGAAAATTAAGATTTAATTTTTTTTATAAATATTTGATATATATCTAGGTTTTAATTTGAAGGTAACAAGATATGAGAAATATTTTGGATGTTCGAAGGTTATCCTAAGAGTTTCCAGAAAGAATTATCCTCTATAATTTTATTCTTTTTTAGATTTATATGAGAGTGTATATTACGAGAATTCTAATCGAGTGATTGACAACTCAAGCGTCTTGTAATCGATCAATAATTTTCTTGTGGATGAAAATTATCGAATCATAATATTATGATTGTTCCCTGTTATTTGTTTTAATTTGTTTTAAAATTTCTCTCCCTCCCAACACCGTTGGACATCTTCTTTGACCTTTTTTTCTACCCTGTCAAGTCTCTTAAAATATTCTCTTGATGATATTTCAGGACGTCACAATCGACAACACAATAAATCGAGTACATAACACAATCATTTCTTCTCGATGGTAAAAGCATACCACCCCGATGAGACTTCGGTTTCCTTTGTGCTTCGTGGGATTTATAATAGATTCGATGCAATCTTGCATCCAACAATGGATAATGACAACACCCTCTTTTTTTTTTGTTGCTTATATTCACAAAAAGAATACAGAAATTTTCTTTGTGATGTATATTTACTTAAGAAAAATAAAAGACTTCATCTTTCTTAGGTAGAACATAACATGGTGCCGTCTTTTGTTTGGTATCATCCATCCATGGGCGAAATGAGTACAACCTAAGCAAAAAGAAAGATGCTTTGGCATGTCCGACCATAGTGAATTGGGGTCCAATAACAACATGGACTGGTCGTGCCGGTTTGGCCCACACTCTTACCTGCCGACCTTAAATCTCGGATGATGCCCAAAAATCTTTCTCTCTCTCTCTCTCTCTCTCTCTCTCTCTTCATTTTGGATAGGGTTTGATGGTACATTGTGAAGGTTGTTGCTATGACTTTACCATGGGAAAGGGTTTGATTAGAGTTGGTTTTTCATTGATGAGAAAGAATTGGCATCCTTTTGCTTTGTTTCTCACACATCTCCTCCCTCCTCTTCTTTCTCCTCTCATTATCATCATCATTCCTCTCCCTCTTTCTCTTTGCTATGCCGACGCACCTCATGTCAAATCAATACAAGTAGGTGTATATGGATGGATACTTGGCACCTTGATTCGATCGATACCTCATGTCAAATCACTCGATTAATCACTAAAATTGTTAAATGTAACTCCCAAGCTTTCTCTCCATATCAGCCTAAACTTGTTTATTAGAAAAAAGAACAAAGAAAGAAAATATGATCTTAGGTATCAATCTTTATCGCATTAAAAACAATAGCAGACAAAACAAATGTGAATTTTAGTTAGTCTATGTCTATGGGTGGTATGGAATCAGTGAGGAATAATAACTTTTTTTTTTTTAATTTAGTTGACTCTTATACAATCCTCTTGTCACCTCTTTTATAAAGGCCTTTCAAACCTTAAAAACTTATATATCATTTTGATGAATAATCTTTCTTTATATTTATATTTCTAAATTATTTTATCATCACCAGATACAAGGGAGGGAGGGATAGATTTATATATTGACCCCCCCTCGAGGAGAGTAACTTATTTCAACCTTTACGAGTCATGTCTCGCTCATTTGTAAAATGGTCGTGGCCTCAAATACGGTCACGACCAATTAATCAATGGTGTTGCTCTCGCTCCAACCTGCTCAACCTCAAGACAAGGTTCCGAAACTTCCTGGTGGATTATATTAGGTTGACCAGCCACCCTCTCCATGAAAAAACAAAGAAAAAAATATTTTTTCCATCCTTTATTGAAAGAATGTGCTCTTGCGACTCTTGCAATCAGGTTGGATAGAAAAAAAGTAATCCAAATCTCTAAATCTCACCTTGAAATATGCCTGTAGCAAGTTCTATGATAGGAAAATGTCAAGCCTTCAACACTCCCTAAGACATGCAACCAGGTGATGCTAGGAGTTTGGCACCACTTAGACAAGAGAAAATTTTTAAAAATCAAGGATTTCGACAAAGAAAGGATGGAAAGGACATCTAAGCCCTACCTCTAAGGCATCAAAAGAAGTATAGAAGAAGTGTTGTGAAGCATAGGGTCAATCATCAGGCTAGGCCGAGGGACAATTAGCTCAAATTCAATATGAACATTGAAAGCCTCCTTTATATATTCAAGATGTTATTTGAAATCCAAGAGTTAGTAGTTATAAGATCTTAACACAATCTATAATATCTAATTATAAAAGGGACTCACCAATGAGGGGACTCGCCTCATCGTTTGTTACTTTAATTAATTGGCTATGTTGTGACAGACTATTGGACATGCACGAGCACCACAATCATTATGATCGTTTGATTCTCGATGACATACGCAAGCCACACATGGATGCTTAAGCGAGTACTACATTGTCATCGTATTAGTCTATCATTATAAGGATTAGGTTTTTTATGGATTCGACGAGTAGTCAAATCGATGTGACCATCAAGAATCAAGGAGAAGACGGTGCACATAGGTACACATGGTCAAACCATATCGAATGAGACATCAATTCCTATGTATTCAAATGGCCAAATGTGTACCTTGACGATGCATAGCCAAAAGGCTCAATGTACATTTCGACGATTCATAACCTAAGGGCCAAACATATACATTGATGATGTAGCCAAAAGGCCAAACTTGTACCTTGACAATGCATAACCTAAGGGCTAAAACATGCACCTCGACAATACACAACCAAAAGGCTAAACTTGCACTTTAATGATGCATAGTTAAGAGGTCGAACATACATTTTTGATAACGCACAATCGAAAGGTTGAATAATAGATACCCTCATCAAAGTCAATGGTGTTAAACAAAATGCTTCTTGGGTATGACCTAGTGACCCCAGAAGTGAGGGACTAGTAATAGGTAAAAAATGACATAGTAAACACGATGTCATCATATGGTAACACGTGATCAACAGCCTAAGGCCTTAGCACCATATGGTCGACTCGTCGATCATTTGAACCCTATGATTAGAGACAATGTCCACGTGTTCCCATGATTCGACCTATACTAAGCCAATCAACACGAGTATCGTACATGATGAACATTGTACCATGATTTAGCCCAAAAAGTCATATGTTCCCATCTAGCCACTAGTGATCCCGAACATAACCATCCTCGCTGTTACATATATAAGGGACCCTCGGGTGTGCCCTCAACCCAAACATAGCCATCCTTAGGGTCACATATATAAAGGACCCTTTGGTATGCCCTCATCCTAAATAATTTATTATTAATTTTTAATATTATATGAATAGTAACTTGGACCAAACCTTAATCTCATTCCAACTCGGACAATTAGAATCTTCATTGATAATAAGAAATCTTAAGTTTTCATAAAATTTGATATTTTTGAAAAAATAAACCCGAGTTATACTATTTTTGAATGAGATTATATTATTTTGAATAGTCATAAAAAATAATTTTATTCATAAACAATGTAACATAAGGTAAAAAAAAATCTTAAAACTTTTAAAAGACTTGTATGGTAATATAAAGTGATTTTGTAGCCAATTTTAATCTAGAGTTCAAAATCCTCTTAAAATTAGTAACATATAAGTGGTCTGTAGCCAAATTTAATCTCGATACATCTTAATTTGACAACAAATGAAAAAAAGAGAAAATTTCAACCTTTTAAGTAGTAAATTAATTAAAAACGAATACTTTAAATGCCCAATTTTTTTTTACAAAAAAGATCATTTATGACTTCATAAGATATTTTTAAGATTTAATGAAAATATCAGTATTTTTTTAAAAATAATTTTTAGATATACGACTTTTAAAGAAGAACCCAAAAATATTATAATCTCATTCAAAGCAATGTAGCTCAGGTTCCCAAAAATAAAATCTGATAATATAGTAGTACGTTTATGCCCTAATTTGATCTGGATTCATCTTAATTTGATATAAAATATAGAAAATAAAAATTCTAACATTCAAGAGATTAATGAAGAGAGACAATGGATATATATGGAGAAGGAAAGTTTGCATCAATAAGTCAATAGGTCTTGCAGAAGGAAAGTATCCTTCGAGGAGAGTCTCGTAGAATTACTTCACCTAAGGAAAAGAGAAATCAAAAAGAAAAAAGAATCAATTCATCTTGAGCCAATTGTTTTCTAGTTTTTCTGCTATATAGTCGAATCATTTTTGGGATCAAATGTATTTTTTATATTTTACAAAAAAAAAATAAACACTCTGCAAAAAGAAAAATAAAAAATAGAAAATCGCCCAATTTGAAATATCCATCGGGGAGAACGAATGAATACTAATAATAGATGAGAAATTTGACTATTACCCTACCTTTATTATATATCTTTGCTGGACTTCCGTTAGTCCAACCCATCTGAGGGCAAATGCATCGAGATCCGTGCATGCTGACACGTCAAACCCATTGGCGCTATATTACTTGTCCATGCATCATGATTCGTGCTCACACATCAATCGAGCAGGGGGAAACGCTCGCCCCGCAGGATAAACCTGCGATGGCCGAGGCACAACAAGAACCAGGAATCCAGAGACGGCCAGTTAGGTCGTGATAAGTGCTCCTCCCTCTTTGAAGTTTTCGTTCCTCTCACCTAACCGCTTTCCCTTCTCTGCTGCCCTCTCTTCTCCATCGAGATCTCCGATCCGTCTCCTCCAAATCGTGAAAATTTCCCCCGATTGTTCCCTCCAATCTTTCCGCCTTCCCAGCCGAAACCCTCTTCCATCCATCGACGCATCGAAATCAAAGCCATGCCCGTCTCTCAGCCTATCACCGGCGGCTATCGCCACAGATATGCCTCCAATCGTGGCGCCGTTGGGCCACCCTATGGGAGGATCATCTCGATCCCTGGCATCTCCAATCCTGCCGCTTCTTCCGATCCCTGCAGGGAACTCCCCTTCCGTAGAAGACACCAAGATTTTGTTCTTAACGATCCCTACGCCGCCCCCGGCGGTCCGCCTCCTTTGAAGAGGAGGAGGATGAGGTCCGATGGTTTTACGTGGGACGGTCGCGCTGGTGGTAATATAGCGTCCACCAGTAGCAGTTCCTTTCTGCAGCCGCCTAGGAGAGGTGTTGATGCGCGCTACGGTCCCCCAAGCGCCGGACAGAATCACGCGCCGGTGAGGTCGGAAGGGGAGAACGCTGCTTTCGTGTCGAGGGATGAGATCGAAAGGTGCTCTCCGTCTCGAAAGGATGGCATCGATCCCTTGCTCGAGACACAGCTGCGGTACTCCTACTGCTCGTACCTTCAGAATCTCGGGATGAGACTCGAGCTGTAATTTCCTCATCTCCCGCTATTTCTTTGACGTCCAGGAGGCTGGACATAATGATATTAGGATAGAGAAAATAATCTGATCTTTTAATAGATATCGGTGTTAGATTGGCGTACAGATGTTTCCTCGAAGAATTCTGTTGGTATTTCCTATGACATTTACTTTGGTTTTGCAGGCCGCAAACTACTATTGGAACAGCGATGGTTCTTTGCCACCGCTTCTTTTTCCGGAGGTCCCATGCTTGCCACGATAGATTTGTGAGTTCTGGAGCTCTGTTGCCTTGATTTGTGCTTTTCTGATGCTATGTTTTGCTTCTTTTTTTTTTTTTTCGTGATGCATCCACTAATCGTGCTTGAAATTAGACATTAGTTATGGATTCTATTCACTGGATGCACATTTTGTGCTTCCCGTGTTCATTCCATAACAAAAGATCTTAACTTTTATTTGCCCCAGTTGATGTCTTTTCGCTTGATGGTTCTCTTTGGGATGCCTTTTGCATGAGTGAACTGCTCGGAGCACCTGCTGCGCTCCTTGTTTCATTGTTGCTGTGGCTTCTAGTATAATCTACTGAAGTAAAGGAAATTCCAACACCAAACAATGTACAGCTTTATTCTTGTATGTTGCAGATTTATGGACTTTTCTGAATTAGCATATGAGAAAATTTTGTTTTGCACAAGATCCATAAAGAGGGGTCTTCTGAAGTTTTATTCAGGCTGTGTTAAACAACTATTATAAATTGGATGGGTTGTTTTGGAATTTGGTTTCAGAAAAATATAATTATGACCAGAGACTTCAGTAGGAGATCTTTGATTATGTCAATTGTCATAAAACACGCAATGGCAAGATTCCATGAAATGCCAAGATGCAATAATCCATAATGACATAGTCTTGGTTCTATGCCATGTTGCAGTGATCCATTTTAAAAAATTCTGCAATTGAATAAACCTACAGAAAAGTATTAACATACTTATGTATGCTAATATAATACGGTGTTGAATCTCTTGGATTGAGAAGTCTCACTGGGTTACTTCTTTGTCATTTACATTTTATTGCCCTATTATAATATCAAGTTGGATGGGCTAGTGTTTTAACTCCATATTAGAGAGTATTGGCCATTTGGTCGTCTGGCTACTTTGTGCCTAGTTTCTTCTTACCTACTTGTTAAGAGTTAAGAGTAAGTATTCACGATTAGAAAATCAATTACATACTAAGTGATCCCTTTGTCTATTATTAGTATTGAGGTTTGGAAAGACCAAAATGTTGTTTGTTGGAGATCTAATGCAGACATTACAATGAATAATCGAGATTATGTTATAATTGATGTTGGATCATTCTAGTGTATTTATCATTTTAATAAACATCAGTTTAGGGGACATTTTGCAAATGCGTTGCCATTTAGCAACATATCCAATGTTTCTAGTTGAGTTAAGCACATCTTTTTTTTTCTTATTCTAGTGATATTTCTTAGTTATGTTTCTTTTAGCAAATTAGCATATTAGCAAACTCTTTTAATACCCTGCAATCTTTTCAGATGATTGCGACAGCAGCTCTGTTCCTGGCAGCAAAGTCTGAGGAAACACCATGTGTCTTGAACTCTATGCTCAGGGCATCATGTGAAACTTCTCAAGAACTAGAGCTTTCTTACTATCCATACTTGCATCATAAGGTAAATGTTTTGACCTGTTTATATTCTGAATTATTCATAATAAGTACTTGTAAAACTCTTGAGTATCTGCCAGTCCAAGGATCCTTGATGAACTCGAAACTTGCTATGCATGTGTCTTATTATCAGATACTATGGTCACCTTACCTAAAGTAACTTGAAACTTGCTATGTATGCGATGGCCATAAGAGAAAATGACTCAACAATCTATGGTACGACATCTTTATCTCTAAATGTTATCTCAGTTTTAGCTTTTATGCAGAACACAATTAAGGCGAATTTCAAAGATATTCGTAATCAGTCGATTTCTCCAATTTCGCGAATTTCTTGAGAGAGGAGAAACTTAAGATATTTTAAGCACGGAAATTATGATTTTCCAAATTTCAGCAGCTAGAATGACACAAATCGGTTGAGAAGCATAAAATTTCTAACCTTTATTTGCTAGGAGTTTTTGCAGAATGAATTTCTTCCTTTCAGTGCGAGCCCCTCGATGGCTTATTACTCGAGCAGATGTTATGCATTCCAAATGGATTGCCCATAACTCCACATAGAATCTTCAAACTTTAAAGATGGCTGGAGGCATGGTAAAAGAGTTATATGGAGTGATAAACATTATCAAGCCCTAGATTATCTAGTCCTAGATTATGACGCTGCCAATCCTGATACCTCTAGGTTAGGATTACTTTTCTGACACTAAATGTTTCCTGGGCTTCCAGTATCAGGATTATTCACAATAAAAAAAAAATCTTGGACTTGTCATAGACTAAGCAGGTTGGCTTAAAGAGATTGGACCCAAAGGCCCTAAAGGTTAGAGGAAAGAAGAGCTAGGCATTTTTTTGTTTAACTTTTTGGATTCCGGGGGACCATCTAAACCATATCATTTAGCATGGTCTGAGATATATTATTAATATTCTTGAGTTTTGTTCATTTTCTGAAATTCGACTTCAAATGGCTCTATATTCTGTGTTAATTTGCTTAGAACCTCATCTTTGCATGAAGTATAACAGGATTATGCATTGAAGTTCAATGATCTTACTGCTATTACCAAAGTAGCATGTTTTGTTCAACCACCTGATACATATTCATTATGAATGCTAGCCAAAACTACATTGTAAATATGCCATTATTTAAACTGTGTTGTCTTTTTGTTACGCAGGATTGGTTTGAGCAATACCGTGAACGGGTCATTGAAACTGAACAAAAGATACTAACTACTCTGGATTTTGAACTTGAAGTGGAGCACCCATATGTCCCTCTTGCATCAGTACTTAACAAACTTGGACTTTCACAATCTGTTCTTCTTACAGTCGCTTGGAATTTTGTCAGTGAAGGGTATGGATCTTGGTTGTGCTATTTGCCTATTGCTTTCGCCATGTCAACTCATCTATTTCATTTGGAATGGAAGGTTTAGTTTGTTCGACAAGTATCGAATTGATATTTTTATTCATCGGTACCTAATGTTATTAGTTATCATACATTTTGTTTTGGCTTGTTAGTTATTTCAAGCATATGTGTCAAGCATAATGTTATTAGTTATCATACATTTTGAAGTTTTTTTTGCAGAACTGTCCTTTGATATTGTTTTAGCATTGGAACATGTAATAGTACTCTCAATGATATCCAAAGTTTGAGAATTTTCAGTCTCTTGTATGCATTATATATAGCGATTGCTAGATTACCATCTTACAAATGCAAGTCCATTGTGGTTTATTGCATCGTCAGTTTTGTTTTTCACATTTATGTGGAAATGGAGTTCCATCTGGAAGTATTTAGGTGAAGCTACTTGTTTGAGTGATGTTAGTGCACCATTCTTACAAGCCACTTATTTAGGTGTTCACCATAATCATTTTATCATGGTTTGGAAATATTTGAAGCCTTTTTTAATGGTTCAAGCTCTGCTCTAGCCTTCAAGTGGAGCTTTATCAAGTCAAAAAATGAATCGAGCTTGATCTGTCCATTATCTGCTTGTTTCAATTGCTAGTTACACTTGCTGATGTGATATAGTGAAGCAAAGCCTCAATTTAACTTCTTGTACCTTTGAACTTGCAATGCAGAACTGCCTTATCAACCATAGGTCCTTGCTTTCATGTCTACCATTGTATACAAACCTATTGTCTTGCATCATTATTTGTGGTAATAAAGTCTATCATTCCTTCTTTCGTTATATTGATCTACTTGAACAAGTGTGGGTAATACTCGGGCACTGTCAAGAAGATTTTTCTCTATTGATTTTTGTCTTCTGGTCTATTTCCCGTACTGGTCTTTTGAGGTTTTTCAGGATTTTCCTTAACTTCATTGCAAGTAGAATCCCTTTGAAGTTTTCCATATTTAACTACCTCCCCATTCTCCTTTATTGTTATCTGCTTCAAGATGTTATGGAAGAAAATATGTGCTTGATGCCTATTTGAAATAAATCTTATCTTTGACATATTAACTAAGTCAGACATGATCAATGGTGTGATAGACACCATTCAATGATACAGATTATCTAAAGCACACGTTAACATTGCTTATGTCATTTATATAAATCAGACAAAATTCTCCTGGATTTCATTAGTATGTACTGCCATTATATGTTAGCAAGATGCATGCCTCTATATCATGGGGACGAGCATGGGTCATACTTGATCCATAGAATTGTGTCTATGAGTTCGGGGTTTTAAGTCATTAGGGGGTTAGTACAATACAATTACTCAAGAGTCTTTGACGTTACAGAAGTTCGTTTGTTCTGCAGGCTTCTGTTGAATGTGGTTCTTATTTCAAAACAAAATTTGAGTAAAATATGGTGTTTTCCTAATTGCAAATGCAAGAGATTAAAAGACAGAATTTCCACCTACATTGAAAAATCTTTTCCTACGGTACTGGAATCGAAAGCTCTATTTCATTTGTCTTTTTCCTGTGTGTTTTGTGCATAGTTATGTGCAGTTGAATCATTTTATGATATTTTTTCTTGAATGACAGAGATAAGATGAAGAGTCTATATTTTTGTTTTATTATGCAAGTCATCAGATTAATGAACTATTATTAAATTATGTAGTTTATCATAAGCATGTTCTTGCATCTTGATAAATGCATCACCCCACACTTTCCTGATATTCTTAGGTTTTAGGATAATTATGTAATTCATGCATAGATGAAGTAATCTATATAGAACTGTGATTATGGTACATGATGTTCCTTGAACTGTCATTTTAATCTGTATCAAACATTCTGTCTCCAGAATTTAAAGACCACTTTTTATGAGTTTGGCAATTTTAGTTCTGGATGGTAAATCATTTTGAGTAACTTCTTAGGCCTCTGAAAAAGAGGCCTGAAGAAATAGGCCACAAGCAAGTGAATGGCTTACAACTCAAACTAGACTAGTTGTTTTTTGTGTGATGAATTCTTGGATTCTAAAGCGTTGCTCCTTTTCTCGTTGCGGTTATCAATATGTTTACTCTTTTAAGTTCATCTATTGGAGGTTGTGACAGTAGCAGTCATGTCTAATGAACAACTGAATTTTTGAATAATTTGAAAGGATTGTTATGGCAGTATTTTTTTTCTCTTTTTGGTGATTAAGCTTCTTTTTTTTCTCATACGGAGACATAGATATCTATATGCTAGTGATGCATTTTCTGGTTTTCTATATGCGTGTTCTCTTGGAACATTTTTTGGATGAGCATGGTTCTATATTGACACCAATATATAAACCAATGGCCAAATGGGTACTAATTTTTGCCTTTTTTGTGTCTTCATGTGGAATTATTGTGTGCAAACTCAGTGTTTTAAAAGGGCACCCGGGCGCTTGCCTAGGCGCTCAAGCGAAGTGAGGCGAGGCTTGAGCGCCTCGGACAGTTGTTGAGCAATGCGCTTCAATGAAGCACTGCCCGGGCGCCTCGGGTGAGCGCTTGGTTGAAGGCGAGCAATCGAACCATAACTTTGGTTTGGTTGAACTGTAACTTTGTTGGTTCAATTAAACCAACTAAGCATAATAAAATAGTAACAATAAAACCCCCCGCACGCTCCTCCCTCGACGTATGACCTATAAACCCTAGGTCTTTGCCGCCCTGACTCACCTCTGGTTCTGCTAGCCACTGCCTCCACCGTCGATGCACAGGTCCAACGCTCCTACCGTCGATGGACGGGTCCGATGTTCCCACTACTGTATCTTTCATGCGTAGTTCCCTCCACCGCCACTGCTTCCATGTGCAACTCCTTTTGTCGTTGAGGGATAGGTTCGCAGCTTCCTCTACCACTGATGGACACATCTGAAGCTTCCTTTGCCCTTGATGCCATCGTCTGTAGCTTCCTCTACCATCGTTGTCATTGTCCGCCGCTTTCTCCGTCGTCGTTGTTGCCGTCCGTGGCTTCCTCCGTCGTCGTTGTCATCGTCGGAAGGTTCCCCCGTCACCACTGCCCTCTCCTTCCCCACGTTCCACCATTGGTGACACCTTTTCTCTCTCTTTATTGTTATGACTATTGTTAACAGTGGATTAAATATTGTTAACAGTAGATTGCTAATCCTTAACTAATATTAAAACTATTGTTACCATATAATAAACTAAAACTGATATTAATCCTTAGAACTGTCGACCTATTTAGAACAAATTCTTATTTAGAATTCTTAATCCTTATTTACCATTGTTAATCGCTATTTAGATTTGTAATTAGCCCCTATTTAGCACTGTTAATCTTTATTTATTTAGAATTGTTATTAGGGTTTTAGGATTAATGGCAAGTGTGCAAAGCAATAAGGGAGATTCATCAAAAAATTCAATTTAATGTCATATTTTTATTTATATAATCATATTTATCAATTATATTATATATTTTTTATATTTTAATATTCTAGGTGAGCATCTAGGCCTCGAGAAATTGGGACCTTGGATCCTTTTGGCGCCTAGCACTTTTAAAAACATTGCAAACTAAAGAAAGCATGGATTGACTTATTTTTGGATTTAATGTTTGTGGTATGCTTTTCTTTGTAGATCTTTGATAGTTCGTTTGACATTTTATTTTTTGTTTGTTGGAACTCAGGAGTATTTTCGAATGTTGGAATTATATATCTTTGAATGTTGGAATTATATGGCAATGATCTAAACATGGGTCCGATATTGGTTTGACAACCGATTGGATTGGCATACTGGGTATTATACCGACTTGTACCTTAGCATGTTACTGAAAAATATAAAAAATAGAATATCAGTCAGTGCCGACTGGTTGGTACAAACCAGTTTGATTGGTATTTGAAACCTTATTACATAATTTTTTTTATCTTTTATTAATATGGTTTTTGTGTCTTGTCCTTGTACTACAATATTTCTGCAGGTCATTTTTTCTTGTGTCATATTGATTGTTTGATATGTCATAAATTGCAGGGTTTTCTTCACAAGACTAATGTGCTATATGTGATATTCTTAGCTGGAGGATATGCGTTCATGCAAAGCACTTTTTGACGAATAGCAAGAGTTGGACAAATATTAGATGAAAAGTATTAATATGATTTTGAATTGGTTATCACACAATTAATGGATCTCAAGCACTTTGCATCACGGGATCTCTAATTATTCTTCTTGATTTCAGATGCCTGAGATCCTTTCCTGGTGACTTGGCAATTAAACACTAAAGCCAGTCTTCCTATTTTGTTCTTTGATTTTCATTTAATTTCTTGATTCCTGTATTATGGTCAGATTTGATATCATCGTCCTCCTGTGTCCCTCGAGTCTTCTACTATCTTTTGTTTGTGTTATTTTAGTTGCTCACTCCTGTTCTTTAGTGGATCTTTTCTGTACAGTCCAATTCTGCTCTTCTCCAAGTGTCAACTTTTATATACTAATCACAAAGTTGAAACTTATAGAACCATTTTTTGTTTATTTTCTCCTCTCTCTCTCTCTCTCTCTCTCTCTCTCTCTCTCTCTCTCTCTGCCTTCTGTCCTTCCATAACTAACTGGAATCAGAACCAAATCTTATCCCTTTGCATCTTTTTTCAGCATGCAAGTTAAATGAAATTTTTTACTTACAGACTTAACACAATGATAATATACCAGAGCCAGCAATACTCTTAAGAATAGGTAGTTCTATATATGCTATAATACTCTAAGAGAATGATTAAGAACATAACATTCCTAAACTTTTGTAGCCAACAGTTTGCCAGTGATGTCCTTTATTTCTTATTTGCATTGAGGTAAAAACAGGTGTTTGCTATGTCATCTGTATGAGTTCCAAACAGCTTCTTCTAGTAAGGTATCTTTTTATGCTAGTAAAAATATCAATATCCTAAAATAATAAATTGTTTCCCAGAATGTTTCATTTACTAGTATGAGCATTGCATGGTCATCTACAGGTATATGTGTGTGGAATTGAGGGTGATGGTTGACCGAAAGTTGTTATAGATCTCTTGGCTTCCCACAACACCATGGTGATCTGGAGTTGAATTTAAAATGATGTCTTGCTTAAGTTCAATAGGCTGAATCTTGTTCCAACTACTTAAGGACCATCGGATGTGTAAATACACATCTATTAATTGTTTTTGTTCAAAATGAGGTACCAATTAATACTTCAACCTGCTCATGATTCTTGGGCATGCATTAGCTATTCAGGGAAGCATGTGCATTGGTATATTTTTGCATAATGCAGGGTATCTGATTAGTTCATGTTTGACATACACTGATAAGCAGAAGCTACAAGCATCCAGGAGAGATTTGTTTTCTCTCTCTTTGTGTCACAAATTTCTACTACTTTCCTGATTGAGTATATGGATAATGGGAGGGGGAACTTTGACGGGAGCATTCCTGAGTTCAGGAATTGGTGCATAGTTACCAAAGACATGCTATAGTTTAGCTCTAACACAGAATTTCAACTGAAGATTCTCAGACTATATATCAGCTGGACTGCTGCTTTGATATTTGGTAAGGAGTCTTTGGCATGTAGGCTTGTTTGTTCTGCTCCATGATTCTTATCCTGTCATAATTTTATATTTGTTATCTCATCCGTTTTGCTTATGTTAATTCTTGGAGCACGTCATGTAACTTGGGACACTAAAACATTGCCACAGAAAAATGGTTTGGCTATTAGCTTATCATCTTTAGCTTGTTATTGCCCCTGATCATAACAATGGACCAATTGTTTAATCAAATGCTTATGGTTTTATAATTTTGCAGATACCGCAGTTCTCTTTGCCTTCAGTTTAAGCCTCGTCATATCGCTGCTGGAGCTGTATTGCTTGCCGCCAAGTGCCTAAACTATGAGCTTGCTCTTTATCCAAGTTTTTGGCATGAGTTCCGGACGACACCAGCTATCCTTCAGGGTAATGACACTGAACAAATTTGTGCTTGCCATGGATGACCTTTTTATATTCTACCTGCAGGACTTGATTCATCTTTGTTTATTTGTATGTTGGAGTTGCAGATATTGTCCAACAGTTGATGGAGCTTCTCTGAGACGAGACCGATTATTGTGCTTAGATGTTATACGACAGGTTTGTAGTATGGATCCATCAGATTGTATTAGTTCCAATGTTCCCCTATCAAGAAAGATTTAAGCCTCTATTTGATTTTCAGCCAGCTAAGTTTCTCTCCAGTGCTTGCAATAGTGATTGAAATCATAGTCTTTTAGCACTCAAGTTTCTAATGTACCACACACTCCTTTTTGTAACCTTTACTGAAGTTATAAAAATTTTCTGGTTTTATCAAACAATCAGCTCGTACGTCAGGGTTCTTCTGATTGGCATTGTGGTCCTTTCTTTGGTTACTAGCTATCTTTGCATCTTGCTTTGATAATGGAATGATGAATGGATTTAGGCTTTGCATCTTTCTTTGATTAATAACTTAATTGGCATTAAGTTATTGATCGAGGTCTCTGAAGCTCATTTCTTATATTCCGTTTTATTTTTTTAAAAAAATTGCATTGGTGTGGGACATCTCTAGTATTGAATAATACAATTTTCGTTTTTTGGTATACAGACCTTAATGTCCCTGTGATGGGTAGTTAATGAAGTATATTTTCTTTCTTTTTTTGTTTGGGAGGAAAAAGGAGTGAATCATACAGCACTGAGTATGTTTGAATGATGCAGCAGTAAGCTGGTTGGTTGGTCCAATTGGCAAGAGATTGGGGATATTCTTGGCATGGCCAAACAATACATTTGTTGGCTGCGTATGCTGGTAACCGCATGAACTGGTCATAGGCTTTCAGGAGTTGTTGACGTGCACTTTCTTCTTTACAGATTGGAAATTTCTTTGGTTCCCCCAAGGAAGCTTCACGGAAGTGACTTAGGAGTTATTTGAGATGGGGGACAAATATTGAAATTGTATAGTGTCGTGCCTCCTCCTCACCTAGAGAAAAAGTCCAGACACTTGGTGGGAAGCTTTCTGGGGAACGATAGCATAGCGGTAACTTTTTTTGTTTTGTTTTCCTTTTTGTCATTTGGCAGAAAAGCATATGATGGTTAGTGCAAGTAAATTGTCTTTGCGTTTGTCATCGTATTGATTGTGATTGCGCAAATAATAAGAGCGGAGTGATTTGTGAATCTCTCATTTTTAATGTGATCCGACCCACTTCAGAATCGGATATGGATCGTAACTTCCACCAGATGATCCGACTTAGTTGACCTGATCCGATTTGATCTATTGCTGGATGGATGGGACGCGGATCGAGGTTAACCCCATCCGAACCCCCCCGTACATACGTACTTATATCATGTGTCATGCTCTTTAATGGATTGTCAACATATGTCCACCGTCAGATTAGATGCTCCCACCATCGCACCCGCCCATAAAACTATGGCGAAACCTAATCCCGCCGTGACAAGCGGGACACCGAGTCCGCCTCCTCCTCGATCGCACACTCCGCCCTCCCCTGCCCGATCGTTCGGCAGCAGCACGACGCTCCTCCTCTATTTATTTCGTCTCCAGCAGCGCTCCGGCTAGTCTTCTCTGCTCGGAAGAGGGGCTGAGGAAGGAGGAAGAGTCCCAAAACCAAACCAAAGGGTTACTAATGTCTCACAACCCCTCCCAGCTGCTCCCTGCGGGTACCCGTCTCTAACCCTGAGTCCTTTTCTCGCTTGCATTCTTCGCTAAACTTCCGACTTATTTCTTCTGCGTGCGGCCTCCCAGAGCTGATCGATCGGTGCATTGGGTCGAAGATATGGGTTATAATGAAAGGCGACAAGGAACTCGTTGGGACCCTTAAAGGCTTCGATGTCTACGTCAACATGGTCCTTGAAGATGTCACCGAATAGTAATCACTTCATTCGCATGCCCTGTATCGATGTCTTTTCCCTCTTCTTCTATGTTGACTACTTAGAATTGTTTTGGTTATATTCTATTTCCATGTCAAAGTCCTTGAAGATGGTCTTGTTTAGTTTTACCTGGTTTTAAATGTTTATTTTTTCATTAACTACAAGTCTCCTTTAACTAGTACTTGTTAGAGGAATTAGAAAAAAAGGCCTTTAGCAGTCTTAGGGCAGTGTAACCTAGAAAAATGGGCCATTTTTTCCCAAAGCTGTATACCCTACATGTTTATCTCTTCTAAATCTTCGCCTTTGCTGCACAACCAACATAATTATTTATTGCTCTGAAAAAATCTTTAAAATTTAATGTTCATAAGATATCATTTAAGCATCGCAACTTAGGTTCTTAATACTATAATAAACAATGATGCTTCAATTTGCTAGCTGTCTTGAATACGTGGCCAGTATGATTCTTGTAGGATACCTTTTTGGTTGTACTTGTTTGAAATATCCATCTCTTGTCTAGTTGTTAAAGATAATTATAGGACACTTATGGAAGCTTCAAAATGTTTCTTCATAGCATCTTGTTTTCCTTCGATGTTGAATTCTTTTTTGTCGATAAGATTGATATAAGATTAGATAGGTAACAATGCTTGTATTAAGCATGAGACTATGCTTAAGGAAATTAAAATAGTGATTTATATTGGTAATGTGTGGATATGAGTGTTACTAGGTCAGATCCATTTATATTTCTACTCATATAAAACAAGGCCTATAGTATTTACTTATTCCAATTGCTAAATGATGCTTCTCCATGAGCATAATTTTTTTGTTTTACATCAAATAGAGATCATAATTCTGACAGTCTGCATAGATGACTTGGTTAAATGTATGTACCTAATTATTATAATTAAATGAGAAAGAGTTGTTTCCAATGCATTTAACATGAACCAGAACTTCCTCTCCCTCTTTCTCTCTTTAGTCTCTATTTTCCCCCTCTTGTCCATTGATTAATATAACCCAAAAAAGAAAGAGTTTCATGTGTTATAATTAACCCTATGTTTATATACTTATCATAATATCAATAATGTTATCAACAATAGGGAAGCGTGAGGAACAGGAAATGTGAAAAAACCCCACAACTTGAAGCTTCTTCCTCTCGGACGAGTTCGTGTGATTTTGAATGTTCCACTTCCACAGTTGTTGGTGACCTTATTTATCACCATATCAAAACATGCAGTTAGCCTTATCAGAGTGATTTCATTTGACAGATGTCATCAATATTTATCCATGTGAGTCTTTAAGGGTTATACAAAATTCATGATCTTTGTTTGCATTGACAGTGCTCCATAGGGTAAAGATGTGCTGTCTAACCATTTAGCCTCTTAAAAAATTTCCTGAGATGATATTTAGAATCTCATTATCTATCCGACACTAATAGACTTTAGTGTAAAAAGGTTCGCCAAAAATAGCTCACTTGGTATTCTCATTCATATGATTTCATGTAGGTCATTATTGCTCAATGAAATATGGGAAAATCTTTCGCTTTAGCACTTTTATTATTGGTGTTTGTTTCTGCCAAATGTATCATAGACCTTATAATCACTTTAGGTAATAGCTCAAACACCTGATCACTAGATGACTTCTGTTAGCTGGGCTTGTAAACTCAAATCGGACAATCACTGCAACACAATGTATAGCTCTATAAAATATAGTCCCAATACCTTTGATATGCAAATTTTGTTTATCTTGGGGTGAGTAAAAAGATTTGCTGGATTGGGACCATGTCAAGTTCATAATTGTGAGACCAGTTTTTTTTCTTGAAATGGTTAGAACTTGCATGAACACAATTCTAGCTAAAGTCTAGTTGAAGCAAGCTCGTAAGTCCCATGCAATTGCTTATCACTACTAAATGGCTGATGAATTTTAGTTGACAGGCTAATCAAGTTGATTGCCAAGTAGGCTACTTAGATCAGGATATTTTTACTCAGTATTAGCACCATAAAACTATGCATTGACAATGCTGAGATAAAAACCTTGATGGAGACAAATTTGTTCTGAAGTCATATCTTGGGACAATCATATAGCATCACAGTAGCTAAATACACAAGTCTGGTTATTTATGAACTTTTGAAGGGCAAGATCGTTCATCATTGCTTTAAGTGAAAACTCTTAACAGATTACTTATCTCATGTTTCAATCTTCTATCTTCTAGGTTTTCCGATATTGTTTGGTGAGAGTAGCATTAATCATGAATCTGAATTTTATGTCAATTGATTTTTCTAATGTCAAATTGTGTTCATCTTCATCCCATATGGGAAGTATACTTTCTCCAGGGGACACTCTACAGGACTGAGCTATTTTTTGTGATAGGATATGGCACCTGTATAAGGTTTTCCCAGTTCGAGGATAATGGATTTCCTAAGAATAAATACTAGGAATTTATTTTTTAGAATATTTCAACTTCAGTGCACAAAAAAACAATATCCAAGAATAGCCTGTGAAGCTTACAATGCACCATATATGGTAAACTAAAATATCTTAACGAAGAGTTTCTTCTATGGAAATCCTAGTATCTGAGCAGATCTGGTCTGATGGTACATTTAGAACTCTCTAAACATGTTTCCTAATAGCTTAAAGTATTCTCCCAACCATATATTGACAAAAGTAGGACGCAGAGGTTCAAACACAATTCAAGATACAACTCAACTTGATATAAAATAGCAACTAAAAATATGAACGGGAGTCTGTTAAAAGAAAATACAAAGATAGAAAAATTAAGATCCCTTGTCTAAGGCTGGATACGGTACGACCCTCAAAGGTTGGGCGGGGTCTGGCCACTTTGTAACAATGTAATAGCTTGTTTTAAATTATATTTCTGCTCTTGAATTGAGAAACACAGTTGATTATTTGTGTAAAGATCATTTCAACTTCTTTCAGTTGGTAATGTTAACTGTATTCCTATTTCAGTGAAATTACAGCTGAAGGACGTAGGATAACAAAACTTGACCAGATACTGCTAAATGGAAACAACATCGCCATTGTAAGCAATCTTATGTCCTTTGCTATTTTACCTATCAAATTCTAGTAATTCAGACAATTTTCCTTTTATATTCAACTTTGGCAATGAAGAAAATTCTTTTCTAGTTCTATTGAACTCTTGAAATTTACAGCTGAAAACTTGAAACTATTATGGATCTTATAATATCTTGAAACTTAGATACTATCCAATTAATGCTCATCAAGAACCTCTATTTTGTATTGGCATTTACTAGGACACTATTTGGCTGTTTGTTTGCTTGGCAATGGGGGCATTTAAATCTATACTATTACAAACTGTATTTAATTTCTATGAGCTGATCACATAGTAGTCCATCATGTTCTTTTTTTTTTTGTGTTGGAGCTTCATTCCTTTTCTTGTCACCATGCATCATCTATGACAGGCCACTTAGTTCTACGGATTGGAAGGCTTTTCTGGCCACCTCTTTTATCGAATTAGGTATTCTTTCTGTGTATGTAACTATGTATACTGCTATTTTTCATATGATTTTGTTTAGAAAGGTAATGCACAGCTTAGAAAGGAATTATGCAGTCTGTTTTGTGGTGGATATGCCGTGAAAACAACTGAGAATTATATAGTGAGAATTGAAGAAACTGTTAAAATCGTCTGATGCATGTTAATTCGTTACTTTCTCAATCTACAGCATTGCTAGTGAATTTCGAGTACATGAGGATTCTTTGATTAAAATGAAAAAGAAAACATGCAAAGTCATTGAATTTGATTCTTAGAAGATGAACAGAACAGATAATTTTCCTTTTCAGTTTCATAGATTAATTCATCTTGCGTTCTTTCCTGTTTTCCCCTGGTATGTACATTCTTTTAGCTATTTCATTCATAATGGAGCCTGGATGATGACATTCTCAATGTAAGAATGTCATATAATTGGTTGTACCTATAAGCTTATATTAGTTGACCTTGATCGATCTAACATGAGTTTTCAGGTGGGATCTGAGATTTGCACTGAGAATAATCACCTGCTCCTATCAATATTATGATGCTATTATTGGTCTTTCTACTAGCTCATAATTGTTTCCTTTTTGTCAAGCTAGATCTTTGAGGATAATTTGCTTGCATGTTAGGCATCTTCTAATATCTGTTTTCATGACCATGCATTCGAGAAACAAACTTGATCTCACATACACACCCATAATATTTTTTCCTTTGCCATCTCTAACATCTGGATATTAAATCTGTTGTGCAGCTGGTCCCTGGTGGTTCTCCGGATCCAGAGTAAGCCGGCAACTTCTATGTGGAAGTTTTAATGAAGCAAGCTGAAGCCTTTTAGCATATTTAGGTTCACTAAGTTGTCTTAATATATCAAAAATGTTCAAAGTACACGTTCCAGCCATTTAGCTTCTGAGTACATGCACTAGATAAATGTCTACTCTCTGTCAATCAACTATTTTTCTCCTGAAACTCTATCTGGACTGCGTTTGATTACCTGATGCTTCATTATTGAACATATTGCTTGCAGCAGATGGGGTGGCTTATGTACAATTCTCTCTAGGCCATTAGGACTTGCTAATCTAATGTTGTGCACGAGAAATGCCGGACTCATCTACTAAAATAGATCTTTCTTAACACGGTATATTGGTACCTATTTTCTTTCTACTCTATTTGCATTACTTGTGTCTCGTGTTTAAACCGAGAGTTGATGAATGGTTATGATTGTGCGAAGTGACTGGAGAAATGATGTGGACCCACTCTTGAGACATGGAGGATTACTGTTGCACATGATTGCTTTCAGCGTTTATTGTGATCTTAACTAGTAGATCAGGCCATTGATTCTTATATCAAGGTTTGTATTGCATTACAAGGTTTTAATGTCACAATGGTCGGATATTTAATATAGACTCCTCGGAACCATATGGACTTCTCTTTGGGCATTTGACTTACTTGGAACCATCCTGGAGCTGCCGGAATCTTTGCGCACAGTCATATATCTAAGAACAACATTGGAACATCTTATTTTCCTAAGTTTTCAATCAAGGGCATACTCATTTGCAATTTTCTACCGGTCAGTTCAACATCAGATTAATAATTTTTACAACATGAATATTTTTCTGACCTTCCCCTTTGATATGTTACTTTTCTCCTTTCCTATAAAAGAAACCTCTTTCTTTTTTTTTTTTCCTTCTTACATGTCTGAAACTTTTAGCCTATTGTCAACCATAACAAAGTGCTGCCAATAAAAGACAATCGAACTCAGTCATGGCACCACGACAATTAAACAAATCTTCTAATTGGCAATTATCCTATTCAAGCTTGATCACCTTACCTTACCCTTCCACCACAATCTGAGGTCTGGGTTTCATCTTGTAGTCAAGCTCAAGAGCTCCAAACCAAGAATTTAGACCCTTTTTTCTCAGAAACCTGAAAAACACAAAGCATGCTGGTAGCCTTAAATACTGAATCTTTAATATGGTACTGCAAGAAACATAATCACCCAAGATAGTATAACCATGAAAAATAACTTCAAATAGTTCAGCTTATTCGTTTTCCACTTTGATGCAAACGATGGGAAATCAAAACTTTCCAGTATAACAAGGATAAACAAAGTCATGGCAAACAGTTCAAGAATTAAACTTGGCCAGCCAAAGTCATCTGTCACACTGATCAGGAGGTACAACCCGATAAGATGGCCCTGTAGCCATAACAATCTCTCCAACTGAGCTTTCAGCATGTGATGCAAATGTATAAGAGAAAGTGCAATGGCTTTGAACTGGCACATTATTCGCGAATCTTTTGGACACCCACCCAGCGAGCGTAGTCAACCCACCTGCTCAATAGGACATTTAGACATTCATTCAAGGAAATACATGGATGCTTCAAGAAATTGACACTCGAGGAGACTCAGGTGAATTCAATAACTTACAGCAGGGATCCCAAAAATGTGTTTCCTGTACGAACTGCAAAGCACGACGCACTTAGTAATAGTTTCTGGTTGTGTAGCAAAGGCTCCAAAATACGTTGTTCTATGACACCTGCCAATACTTGATACCTGTCGATAATAGAATTTGACGCTGAGAAATAATCCCATAATTATAATTCATGACTGTTATATTATACTCTGTAGCTGGTTTGCAAGAACACAAACCTTATCCAAATCTGCATCTCTTATCAAATCAGGTAGGAATTATAGCATGTGATGGTGCTATAAGAACATTGTACTTACATATCAAGTATCAAAGTGATGGTAATGACCATTATGAAGATTCAAAAAAGTACACAATAAAGGAGTGCTAACATTTAATTTTTTACCAAGAAAGTATACAAAGTCTATAGACAAAGTTTCTTGAGCATATGGCATGCATCAATAACAAAAAACAGTAAATTAAAGTGTGAAAAAAAAGACATTTAAGATTAAGTCCTGAGTTGAAAGACATGGAAAATATACTTCTACCAAATAACAAAGATGTAACTATAACCCTAAATACCAACACTTTTCACCAGCCTTTTAGGTAATTCAATAAGCAGCACATTATGAAAATATTTTGGTGTTAAATGGAACTAACAGGTCGACAAATCAGATAAACAAGAGCAATTAAAATAAGCGACTAAGTTTGTATTCATACCTAAGGTTGCTTGAAACAGCCATGTAAACACCATAGGCAACACTAGTTGACACTATGGGCACATCCTCTGCTTCGCCAGCAAATTCCTTGTCAACTGCCTTCCTTGTTTTGATCAAGGCATTAGTTATACCAGTTCCAATCTGTAAATCATTTATGACAATTGTCAGCCAACACATTTTAAATTGACTTACTTGACAATTTTCCCTAAGCATCAAAACAACTTTTAAACACAGGCCAAACTTTAACAAAAACACAAATATTTGTTATTATGTATCAAAATATTTAATATATGAGAGATACTTTCTGCACCAACTTTGTCAAATACTGTCAAAACTCCACATCTGCTGTGTGGTAAAATTCCTTCCAAACAACATTTTGCTTTTAGAGTGGTCAAGTTCTCATCGCAAGACCATCCACCAATTTTGTCTAAAAGTTGCATGACAATATTAACCAATTCCTTGTCAAGTTTGTGGTTTTTGACCAAGGGGTTGTGACTTGTGAGAAGCACTTCTCTGCAATAAAAACTTTTCATATATATGCTGGTTGACAGCCATTCTGTAAACTTTAGTTAGGTGTGGTCATTTGTTGCTCACTAGATGAGCAGGATAAAGGGGTTCCGCAAACAACTCATCTGGTCAATCACATGCCAACCCATGATAAATAAATATGGTAATGATTTAACATGTAACTCGTGGTCCATGCAGCATAAAGTTTAACTTAGGCATCTGTCAGAAGTAGTTCGGTCAAACACCATTTCATGATAAATGAAAGTGTAGAAAACACCAAATTGTTTCTCCAACACATCCCTTTTTCTTCAGTTAGAAACCTATATCACTACCCTTTTGATTTTTTTTTCCCTCATAATGGACCGCTGATGAATTTATTTTCAGAACCAACTCATTAGTGGGTCTAGTATATAGTCCTTTTGGCCGATGCAATCTGTTTGAACATTTCCATCCTGGTCTTAAGCATTTTGTATCTCTTTAGATGGCACCAACTCATTGATTACTGTATCAATAGACCACATTGCATCCAAGTATCCAATCCATAGTCCTAGATAGATGTCACAGGACACAGCATGCACAGTACTCACCACTAGGGTGCTGACCAACAAAAATATGAGTCAACTTTACACTCGATGGAATCAGTTCACAATATTCCATAATAATATTGTGCTCTGTGTTGGTGAAGTGGTTACCTGCTGGCTCTTCAAAGTTATGCATAAATTTTCTACTCCAGCAAAACACACTGTTTCCTCGCAGAACATAAACCCTTTTTCCTTCTGATATTTCATTTGCTTCTTGATTGAAAAAGCTTAAACTAGCCCGCAAAACTCATGATACCAAAGGTAATCCTTATGTGAAATAGGCTTTTCTCAACCTGACAGTTCATTAAGTGGTCCCATTTATGTCATGATTCATCTTCGTTTTGCTTTATCTCATGCACAAAGCAACTAAAAAGATCAATTTTTTGCATGTGTCATTAACAAAAGAAACACAATGACATAACTAGATCATGTATATTATTGACTTATAAAAAGAATTTGCTAACATAACTTCTTTGGAGGGGTTTCATTTATGTCATGTATATTACAGTGAAGTGATCATTTAAGCAAGAGATGATACAACTCATCACCAATGCCACAACTGAGAGATGCGTGTCAGATTTACAGTGAGAAGTTTTGAGAGAATTCTTTGAACCAAGAGCTAGAGCTTAAATGGGCTGACCTTAATTATTTTGGTATTTACTGCAAGGCCGGCCAAGATTTGTAATTTTTCTTTTATTTCATTTGCAGGCAATCTTATATCAAATTCAAACTATGAGACTAGGCAATACTGCTGACAAATTAGAAAGAAGCTTTCCACTTTACAACTAAAGAAGCAATGAGATCTTTTGCATGGAAAATGGTGAGATTTACCCAAGTTTAAAATGCCAAAACAACATCTACCTACAACACTATTTTCATGGTGTTGTTTGGTTTCCAATCCTTCTGAAAAATTATCATGATCCTAACTCCTCGTCTTGCAATGTAACATCTCAAACATTGCAAGCATAAAAGGCATAAAATGTAGGCTGATAAATTCAAGAACATGGACAATCATGGAGAGAAGATTCACCAAAGGAAAATATCTAAGAGAGATGGACTATATTGTGTCAAGTTCAAGCAGAAATAGAGGTAAATTGAATTACTTATTATAATCTGAAGTGATACTTAGACGCACAGCACAGACCATATTGCTTGTAAATTGAATAGAATTCTGGTGCTTCAATAGGGAGGGTAAACCTTGCATGTAAGAGAACCCATCAAGCAAACAGTACATCTTTTAAGCAGTGTAGCAGTGTACAAGATTTTTTATACAACATACCCTATGGCAAGAGTTACCAACAAGAGAACTTCCTATTTTATATTACTCCCTGAGGATATCTTTAAAAAACAATTTATTTTATTGGAAAAAAATTGGAGAGTGCACAACTTCAGTATTTACTTGCTGAGAAACAAAGATTTCATAGCTTGCTGGGAAATTTAAATGGAAAAAAAAAGAAGAAATGATGCATGTTCTATGAAAATGTCCCAGAAGTGGACAAATATTACATACCAGAGATGCACTAGTCCCAACAACAAAAAGCTTTGATCCATTTCTCTGTAAAATTGGTAAATAATTAAAGGAATAATTTAAATGCACTCAAGCAAAAGGAAAACAACACAATTCCTAAAAACCAAGCCAATCATAACAGACTGATCAAGAAGGGTTGTTATTTTACCACAATGGCACCAACTCTCTGCAATAATGAGTATGATGTTCCAGCCAAAGCAACCTGGAAAAAGAATGATTCCATTTACAGGGACAGCTAAAGAAAGTACTTTAAAATAATCAATCAAGTACAAAAGCAACATTCACC